GAATTTGACATTAAATGCTTATATTTCATACCTTCTCATAAGTTTTTTAATACTTTAAAGAAGGTGTTAATTTGAAATTAAAAAAGCCCCCCCCCTGGGCAGAGGGTATTTAGATTGAGTCTGATCCTAAATTTCTTAAACCATTATTCCAATCACGAAAGATGAGGTTTTTGGGTTTGGTTTGATAAAAGAGTACTGTATCGGTAGTGCAGGCTATCTGAATAGAGAATGGGACGGAGGATGCTGTCTTGCGGAACACCGGTGACGAATTCCTCCTTTCATCAATCCGCCTTAAAAGTTCAAGAAATTTTGGCGTTTAGACCAGAGCTTATTTCGAACGCGTGGTTATTTTTAATAAAATATGTCTTCAGATTGTCGGTTTGACAATAGTTCGAAATCTTTCAACAGAAGGGTTGGCGATGAGACGTGTGCCGAGAAGTTTCCGACCTGTCGAACATTTGTTAGTTTGACCTTCCGCCGGCTAATCTGATTCATTTGATAAGACTATTGAATTCCATATTGTTACTCATTGTTATTCATCCGTGCTATTGTATATTTGTTGAAATTAACGACAAAATTCTTTTTATCTATCCGAGTGTTTTTCCGATTTGCAAGAAAGGGAAACAAAGAAGGTCCGTGTAAATAATATCAGAGCAGGTGGAATTCAATGACTCATCGAAACACTAACCCTTTGTTTTTGATCTGTATAAAATAGCACGTGTCTCGTTGTGATCCAGCTTGAGATATGGAAACAAACGAGTTTTTCAACTTTTTTTTTATTATCTCGATATGATAAAACAATGAATCATCGGCTTCTTATTTGGAGAATAAAGCGGCTGTGTAATAGGTTTAAAACAGAGACCTCTGCTCGCGAAAAATTTGACAGATGTTTTCCTATCTAATGAACAATATCACTATGTATATTTATTTTTATAAAATAGACGTCCAGCGGGATTGTGAGAAAGTGTGGAGGAAGCCAAGAGGATTATAGTGGGTGGATGAAAGGGTGTGTAGAAAGTTGGTTCTTCCTAGGTCTATGGATAGATTATTTTCTTAATTTAGGATTGTAGTTTTTGTTTGGCCCACTGAGCCAGCCTAAGCCCATTTTAGTTTTAATATTTACGGAGTACTGCCAAGCCTTCCAATATCCAGCGCATCCAGTCCTTCCAATCGAAAGTCCTTAGACAAATTGTCAAAGGACCTTATTATGTCACAAAGACCTCAACATTCCTTTTGCCAACGAACTAATCCAGTCCAGATTTCAAACCGTCCATACCAACCTTTCGAACCATCCTAACCATACTGCTCGAGCCCTATCTACTCATTCCCATCCTGACAACCCACCACGTCGTCTCAACCGACGATGGCCTCGGGACCTCCTTGATACCTAGTTATACACAATGAGTGCCAGCAATGGCTGGCTCCTCAAAGCATGTGTTCAACCGGTGCAGTGCTGGCATTAGTGCTAGTGTTGTGCTGTGCGATTTATCATTCATGTGTACATATTTGTATAGTATACAATTCTGTATAGGTAACAAATAAATTTTAAAAAAAGTTTTAATATTGTGTTTTATAAACATAATTAGTCGTTATTGATTAAGGACATTTCCAATTATCGGTCAAGTAACGGAAAGAGCATTCAGTCTCTCGACCGTGAAAAGCCTCAGGTAGCTTATACTATCACGGTATGTATAATCTGATCGGTCAAGTAACTTTATGAGCATTGATCAGTCTCTCGTCCAAGAAAAGTCCCAGGTAGCTTACGCTAGCCCAGTAGATATGATCTCATCAGTCAAGTAACGGAAAGAGTAATCAGTCTCTCGACCGTGAAAAGCCTCAGGTAGCTTATACTATCACAGTATGTATGATTTGTTGGGTCAAGAACGTGAAGAGTATTTGATCAGTCTCTCGTCCAAGAAAAGTCCCAGGTAGCTTACGGTAGCACAGTAACTTTGATGTAATCAGTCAAGTAACGGAAAGAGGATCCAATCTCTTCTCCATGAAAAGTCCCGAGTAGCTTACGGTATCACAGTATGTATGGTCTGACCGGTCAAGAAACGTAAAGAGCATTGATCAGTTTATCGTCTAAGCAAAGTTCCATGTAGCTTACGGTTGCACTCTAGCTTTGATCTGATTAATCAAGTAACGGAAAGAGCATTCCGTCTCTCGACCGTGTAAAGTCCGTCCCAGGTAGCTTAAAATATCACAGTATGTATGATCTCATCGTCAAGTAACGTAAAGAGCATTCAATCTCTTGTCCATGAAAAGTCCCGAGTAGCATACATACAGTATTTATCAGACGTGTTACGCTGTTCGCCAATTTGCCTGTTGTTAACTTTATTAAGGGAAAAACTTCTTGTCAACATAAAACAATCGATTGCAGGTTTATGATTACCACCGGTAATCTGCCGTGTGTTATAGTAAGCTTTCGGTAGAATTATCAGGCTGGCTTTTGGCTGACAGCGATTCGTTCTTTTGTACTCTTTTCAACAATGGCTGGCGTTTAATCTGGACGTTCTGATCAGCATGCTTCACTGCTGATCGGTGGAAGTCAATTTATTGGCAGACCATTAGGTATTCATAACTTCCGACAAAAATACACATTTATTTTTTATATTTTCAAAGAGATTTGAAAATAGTTTTATAATTAATTCTGGTTAATAGCATATTAAAATTTGTAACACATTATTACCCATATTTGTATACTGTCGTGATTATGTTGTCATTTTACTTGAACAGTTTCATGCAGAGGGAATAGTGCTTACCGGATCTAGTTCAAACTACGACTTAAAATATATTTTCAGCTCTTTGCAGCGTGGTGGAAGCTGTACAATTTGTAAGCTTCTTCCGGGTTGAGACGCATAAAACCGGGAAAACTCAGTGTCTGGACTTATTTCGTTGTGCTAGACTGAATTCCTATTGAATCTTTTCAAATGTAATTGCTTAGGAGTTCTGATTTGCGATGTTTAGCTGTGTTATTTCCCTAGCTTACTTAGCATATTTGATTTTTCCCCTTTCATAGTGAAAAAACGCACGTATGTGCAGTGAAATACGATCTATTACAATGTCAGCTAAATAACCAGGTCGAGTTAAGGGAAAAATAGGATTTTATTAAGGAAATAAATCAGTGGACGTTTTATTGTATCCCAAGTTTTTTGTACAATGTTACATTATCAGTTCTCGTTCTTTCATCAGGTGCAAATTAAGCCCTTATTTTTTAGTAGTCCCTTAACAATTAATTCGTTGTAAAGCAAAGTAAATATAAACTGATGTATGAAACAAGGACTCTCTGTCGTGCTCAAGCGCAATCCTAATATCGGATACCTACACGCTCTCTATATGGATCCATGGAATGTCACTCTTCAGTTAAGTATACACACCGATCAAACTTTTCTACATGCTAGACATATACGTTTTGGAATATTTGTTATAGTTCGTAGTGAGGTCTACGAGCTGATGAATTTGTGGTTTGGTTGTCGCTCATTTTGCTCACCCTATCATCGCTCTTGTAATGTCATACCGTCAGGCTTCTCGGCATCTTTACTGGAAAGAATTTGAACTACAAAAAGGCACCATTAATATAATGTACAATAGGGGATGACTAGAATGAAAGGAAAATTCAGCCCCAGACCTCAACCGGGTCAACCGATTGTTTAAACAGTTACACCCAAATACGTGTATTGATATTTATTGCATTGCATAAATTTGTTGATTCTAAAAATGGAACGAAGAACGAGCAAACGGAGAAAACACTTGTTGTTTTGTGATCAGGAAATTTGTTATTATTCATGATAAGATAAGATTTCAAATGTGCAAACACTTATATGCGAGCTATCACCTCGCCTTTTTTCTTCGGCAGCTAGATGGTCTTTTGCTGGTTGCGGATTGATTCAGTTTGAACAATGGAAATTTCGTCTCGCTAATTTTTACATTGTATACTTAGTCACAATTTTGCAGTCGTCGTACTAAGATTTTTATTTACTTATTTTGGCACATGTCTGATCCATCCGGAATATAACCTCCGACCTAATCACGTCGTCATCAATCTCTAACTCAGATATCCCGACTATAACTTATAACCTCTTTTCTTCAATTTACAACGGCATTGCTGTGCCTTACTTCTAAAGGCCGTGTACCTAATCAGCAGCTTGACTAATCCTTTTCTTCTCTTATTACCTTAGATATCTCAACGCGAGATGTTTTATTTGGTTTACCTATCCTCGGTATTGGTTGGTCTGCGGGACGCCATCTTCAGTTATCAGGGTTATAAGAAAGGCGGGGATCTAACCTATTGTGGGAATGCCTAATTTCCCTAATGACCCTTGAAAAACGCAAGGTTACCTTGAGGTGGGTTTCATGACTTGAAGATATAGAAGAAAACGTAGACAGCCCAAGTAGCCAAAGGTGGGAGGCCCATGGGACAGGTACCATAATTAGACACACTGTGGAGTGTGCTTACGATAAAGCTGAAAAAATTGCATGAGAAGAAGAACTCAAAAAGAAAGTGATAAGTCTCTATAGCTTTTTCCCGTCAAATTAACCCTTTTTGATTTCTAACTAACACTTTTAATTCCAAAGCGGTTTCTTTAACGCATAAAAAGCTTAAGAGGGGGTTAACAAAAATCAAGTAAAATTCCTGTGTTTGAGAAATTTAAAAATATATAAAATGGGTTTTTATATTAAACACCATATGAAAATCTTACTGCTTTCAAACAAAACTATTTACTCCTAAACTTCCAACCCCCATAATTTCATAATCCCAGTTTCATTTTGTAAAAAGAAAAATTTAAATATTTTTACGAGGATATTTTAATTAGAAGGTTTTATGAACCCTCGGGGTGCCGGTGTTTTTTAAAAAAAAAACCCATTTGTAAATATATAGGGTTCGTATGCAAGGCCGCTGGATTCGAACTATCCGAGATATTTACCTTATGTATTTTTAAGTTAGACACTTTTTTTATTAAAGCACTTTTCTGATGGCCTTATTTATTTTTTTGCAGGTAAGGAAGAAATATCTGTCTGTTTAGCTGCTTTATACATCTGTACCTTTGCCAAAATGGGTAAATAAACAGTTTTATAAACATACGAGGGGAAATTACAGACAATTGTTTTTGTTTTGTTTTGAGGGGTCAAGTAAGTATTCCAACCTTTACTCTGCTGCGACCAATATGCTTTCCAATATCAAATTAACCCTTTTTTAAAGCATTAAAAATATAGGAGATAGAATGAAATATAAGCATGTAAAATAAAATTGCTGTATACTTACGATTTTTTCTAAATATAAAATAAGTGGACTCTCAGAAGACCATATTGAAATTAGTTAACATTAAAATTTATATATAATTAAAGAAAAAATAAAAGATTCTACATTTAATTTTAAAATTACAATAAAAATTAAATGGGTTCTTTCGACAACACCTGAAAATAAAATATATGTATTATTAAAATAGTCTCAAATTAACAGAAAATCCATTATTTTTATATTTAATTTTATAATTTTTTCCACTAAATTAACCTTTTAAAACTCTAAATTAACTTTTTTTATTTCAAAATAAACCTTTTCTACATCAAATTAAACTTTTTAAATTTCCACTTAATGTTTAGTACTTTCAAAGTAGCCGTTTTATGCAAATTAACATTTTATTTCAAATTAGCCCATTTAACTTTTGCTTAACTTTTTTCAATTTCCAATTAAAAACTGTATATATAAAAACAAAGGATTTCTACATTTAATTAAAAAAATAAATAAAATGAGTTCTTATCAAAAACAGGAGGTGAAAATTTATTACCATTAAAATTAAAAGTGGTTATATATATACATAGTCCTATAGCGTTTAGGGTTTTTTTGCAGATTCTATTTTTTTAAGAACCTCTTATTTTTATACATATTTTTATTTTTTAAATGTAATTAATTTTCATGTGGCTTTCTGAGAGTCCAATTGGCCTATGATAAATAAGACAAAAAAAAGAGCTCAATAATTTTATATGTATTTAAAAAATAAATGTGAAATACAGAGGAATTTTACGTTTCATATCATCTCTGAAGTGTTTTATTGCTTGAAGAAAGAGTTAATTTAAAGTTAAGTTAAAAAGGGTTATTTTGAAAAAAAGTTAATTTGCAGTTAAAAAGGATTAATTTGAAATTAAAAAGGTTAATTTGAAGTTAAAAAGAGTTAATTTTACGAAAAAAAGCCACGAAATTAAATATAAAAAAAAGGATTCTTCTTTTAAATTAACTTTTTTTAAAAACATAAATAAATATATATAAAATATAGAGCACAACCTTCCGGGCTTGTGAAGCCCCGAAATATACACTTTGTAAAAAACTAAATGGTTGTTATTGTTACAAACGTGTTTAACTAGTCTGCCCACCAATTTTAATTTTTTTTAATACTAAATAAGTAAAAAATAATAAATTTGTAATGCTTTAAAGAAGGGGTTAATTAAAAAAAGGTAGATTTGCAATTAAAAATAGCTATTCAGAAATCGTGAGGTGCGGTCTGGTGTGATGTAGGTTTCTGAAAAACATTTTCTTTATCGTGCCAACGTTTCAATCTTTATTGAGATCATCTTCAGGGCCTGGGATTTACAAACATTGTTTACATTTAACAAATACATTTAGGATGTGGAAAAATTGAATATATACATTTAAAAAATATATATATTGTATGTATTTGTTAAATGTAAACAATGTTTGTAAATCCCAGGCCCTGAAGATGATCTCAATAAAGATCGAAACGTTGGCACGATAAAGAAAATGTTTTTCTGCAACCTACATCACACCAGACCGCATCTCACGATTTATGAATAATTATCGATTAACGGTCACTAATCACCACACATTAAAAATAGTTAAATCGAAGTTTAAAAAGGTTAATTTGACCAAAAATGATGTAAAATTAAATATAAAAATTAAAAATTAAAGGATTCTTGCTATTTATAATTTTAATGATAATTAATTTTCATGTGGCATCTTGTATAAAAAATATTTTATATTTAAACTAATTTTTATATATAAACTAATTTCTATTCAAAAAAATTCTTAAATTAAAAGAAGAATCATTTTATATAATGTGCTAAATAAGTAAAAAAATAATAAATTTGTATTGCTTTAAAGAAGGGGTTAATTAGAAAAAGGGTAGGTTGCAATTAAAAATAGTTAAATCGAAGTTTAAAAAGGTTAATTTGACCAAAAAATTCTACAAAATTAAATATCCAAATAAAGGATTCTTGTGTCTTATAATTTTAATGATAATTAATTTTCATCTTTTATAAGAACTATTTTATATTTATACTCATTTTTATGTATAAACTAATTTACATCGGCTCATTTTTGTTGAAACGTCAGATGACTCATGAGAATATTCTATGCAAATGTAATATCTGCGTTTGCACAAAACAAGTATAATACGAATGCTTTGCAAAATTATATGCAAGAATCTGTGCCATATTCATAAAAAAAGTACCATCGTATAATTTCGATGTAGCGTTTCTTATCTGGCGGAGCGAATCCTCGAGTTGCTCTTTGTTTTCAAGATAAGAAATGACATGAATGTCCTTTGAAATATGGTATTTTAGTCTACAGAAGTGAATTTATCTTTGTCTCATTTAGTTGAAATTTACAATATAGCACATATGCGTGTAATAAACACCCTATCTTTTTTAAACGTCCCGAAGAAAGTAGTTTTATAAAATTTATCAAGTTGTTAAATAATGCCCCTTGTTTGATACATAAGGCGTTCACAACACGTTCCCTTGGGACAATAGTTAGCGTAAACGATCAGCATTAATCCAGTGACAGTGAGTCGGATTACAATGAGATAATTCAGGTTGCAAATTCCCACGGCATTTGTTAAATCGCAGGTGAATATCTTTAATTATCGGTCTTATTGTCCTGGTACGTTTCAGTTCCTTATTGGACTTTCAATGTCCCCCAACCTTCGGCGTCAATGGCACGCACTGTCACATCCGTCGTTTAATTATTTACGGTGGATGTATTGTGCCGTGGAGAACTTGGAAAAAAATCATGAAAAAGTATCCCATTTATCAAAAGGTGAAAATCTTAACAACCAGATTTAGAATTAAAAAGAAAAGAACTCATTATTTGTGCGAGAAAGTAGTTTATTTCATGTGTTTTTTCATATGAGGAGGTTTTTCTGGATCAAATGGTCAAACTTTCGTCCAATTCTGACGAGTAGAATCGGTCAATCGGTTAATAAACAACTGAAATTTTGCTAAACCTGACGTGCTCTGGCGGATTTTATGTTAACATTTACACCATTTGATCCAGAAAGACTTTATTCTAAATAAATAAATATTAAAAAATAACCATAAACTTTTTTACGGCAGATAGACAAGTATAAACAGTGATTTCTGTCCTACTTCTTCTTCTTCAAGTTTCTTTCCTATCCTAGATGGCCAAACCCTTCGTATTGGGAGATATTATGACGAACTTTATTCCTTGGCGAGGAAACAGAAGACGAGACATGTAGCCGGGGTTTAAAATAAAGTGTTCACAATTTAGATAATGACCTCTTTGAAGCTTCTTCTGTTTTCTTCTTAGCAGTCATTTTTTCTTTGTGAAAAATCGTTTGAAACGGGACAATAAGGCTAAATCGCTTAAAATAAATGTGTGATTTTGTAGAAATTTTAATCAGGGTTTGTTGAGATATTAGTTCAGAAAACGAACTTTTCTCATAGGATGTCCTGTATGTAGTGTGTACAGAAAATACCCTAGGGGATGGGGAAAGGATAAAACAGGTGCCTACAAGGCCGTCTGCACCTCGATCTGAGTAGATCTATTGTGGTCCTCTATTTTTATAACTCGCTGGTTAGCTTCAGGTTGTTAATGAACCTCCATTGCCTTGCGACTCCTTGGTGAAGGATATTGCTTTCGGCTTTTTCTCTTCTAATTGCAAGAATCTGCACCTACATAGACCCTCACAAAAGCATAATATATTCGGCAGTTCTTCCTGGCAGTGGCAGCACAGTAGTTCTTCTGTCTGTGCTCTAAGGTGTTCTTAGGCAGCAGTGCCCTGTCAGCAGTCCAATTACAAACCTAGTTCTATTGCTACTACTATGGAACTTACAGGAAAACATACACCAGAGCAATCCTCCAAAGACCAAAGGTTGTGTTCTCGAGAAAATTTGAGCCGTGCAACTCTGTGTGTTCTGGTCCTGTCAGGGGGCGAAAAGCCATCAGTCCGTACTGGTTTAAACTTCTTCGAGCAGTTCGTTCAGAAATTTGGACACCTCGAACTTCCTAGAGCTGACGAATCGCTTGATCAACAGTAAGGCTTCGCAAAATTCTCAAAGTCAAAAAAGGTCATCCTGTGGTTCTGTTACCCTAGGGCGTTCTATGGTAGGACACAGTTTCTCGAAAACGTCTACGTCTCGCAGTGTTTCATAGGGAGCTCCGATGGCGATAGCCGCATACCTGAAGGAACATCCATCATCAATAAGTGCCACGCGCAACATCCTCAGCACTAGGTGGCATTTTTAAATTTAAAAATTGAAATTAAGCAAACAAAGATGAAAACTAAACAGTTTATTGCTTCAGAATTCAAATGAGACTGAATAAACATTTGAAATTCCGTAAAAAGTAAGTATCCTTGTTTTTGGCTAAGGATTAAGTGTGTTTACCTCTAATTGATATTCCCAATTTAAAACATAGCATAAACAAGTATTTATTGGTAAAAGACAAATTAAGGGGAGAATTTTGAAGAGAATATGAAAAAAATCAATTGGGTGGAATTTTGTGCCTGTCAGTGTATAACACTACCAATGAAAACTAAGTTGCTAATTATTTGCGTGGTGAATAAAGGTCCTGGGGTCACTGTGCATACAATTGTATTTGTTTCTTCAAATTAAAATAAATAAATAAATGAGTATATCGATTTTCGATAGGACCGGAACATAGCATAAATGTATAAGGTCTAGGATTCTACTCCTAGATTGGTGTGAAGGTCGTCGGCAAAGGTCGCCTTTCCCAATCGTCCGGATATTTAAAATCGGCCGCCCGTCAGAATGCCAAGCTTCGTTTCAATATACAACATATTGT